GCTATTCCACGACCCTGGGCGACCGACATTTCGATGCGCCGAGTGCGGACATGATTGCAAGAACGCCATATGTAGCGGGAAGAGCGATCAAGATTGCCATGCGAACTCACATCCAGATGCAGTGAACGTCACTTCTTGATGGACGATTCGTATGTGACATTGTCTCCTACTGCGTATGCCATTGCTTATGCATGTTTCTGTGGCACTTGTATGCATATTAGCCGAATTGTGCATTCATCGCAGATTGAGGCCGGTGTCGCGCACCCTCCCAGAGCCGGGGATGAGGCTTTCAACGCAAATCGCACTGTGAAGAAAGCCTCGAAGAGTGCGATTCTCCTGGAACCCTGGATAACAGAGAGATGGTCAAGGATTCAGTGCAAGAACACGCCTGTACTCCTGCCGGCTGACTTCGAAGACCACACCGAAGGATTCTCTACGAACTGGCAAGTGCCGCATTCCTACAAAGAGCCCAGAGATCTCCTACGACACTGGTTCAGCGCCTAAATATCCGCCACTGTTCGCGCCAACCTATGATTCGTCTCTGCTTGAATGCATCATCCTTATGTGGATGGATATATTGAAGTATGTCACTGAGGGCACGAATCTGTTCTTGTTCGCAGCATCTCAAGACGAATATGAATGGGGAGTTGGCGTGGACCTCATGCCAAATCTTGCCGAGAAACGAAACGATGCGTCAGATGCCCAGTTCAAGGCGCCGCATATTTGAAGTGTTGCCACACAAGACATCGGACGAAGGGCGAGCGCCTCATCGTATACTCGAAGTGAACCGTGAAATAAGAGTACCATATATACGCCGGCTAAGGCACGCTTCTTGAACGAATTTGTTATCTGCTACGGTCTGCATCTTCGACTTCACCCTTATCGCCGCACTTAGAAGGCCGAAAGACGAGACCAAATACTATGTGTGCTATGTTATAGACAAGAATAGTGATGAAGCGGATGTTGCTGCAACAGAAAGAGGGGAAGAAGCATGGTAGAGGAACTTCTGAGTAGATGAGAGGTGGCGCTTTTGTTGCGGAAGCCGCTCTACCAATGCTGTGATATGACGCCGAATGTGCTTCAGAGGCCTTTTGATTATCAAACACGCCCACCGCCAGCACCTGGATGTTGATGGCAATGTATCAGAAGTGAAGCCGTCTACCACAATGTTCGATTATTTTCTGAAAGCAAGCACTGGCCAATCAAAGCAGCTACCGACTGTCGATCGCTGTAGCTATGATGCCACGTGATATATTTGGTCGTGTGTTCAGGAGACGATATCACCCCTTTAAGCTCCAAAGAAGGCGATATCGCCGAAAGGTTAGCCAATGAAGGTTTTACATAACAACCGCTTGAGCAGTTCAAACAAGAACTATGAATTAAGATGTCAATATTTGACCAAACGGCTTCTCCTTTTAGGGGAATTTTAGGAAATATTCGAAGGTGATCGGGACCAGCAAGAAACCGTATCAGCCTTGAAGGGAGCTGGGGAGAAGAACTACCAAATTTCTTCAACCGCGAAGGCTACGCCTCTACCCTCTCATTTCGAAAATTCTACTCTGCATCAAGGTAAAGCGTATCGGCAAAAGAGCTTTATGATGTAAGCACCACAATTAACACTAATTTATTAATCAATATACTCTTTATTGCATAATAATAATATTTAGTATGTTGTGAATAATTTATCGTGGCGGGGGCAAGTATAGAATTTCATGTTTGTATCGTCACTACACAGTCTCTTGTAATCACGAACACAAAGCACCTGAACTCGGAGATAGATGTATGGTGCGCTGAATAAGTGCCACTGAATTATCGGGGATCGTACTCGATGACATGACATAACTAATTACTACAGTAATAAACTATTACGGTATATCGCATCATCTATCTGATGTTATACAAACACAACATGGGAAAAAATATCGTCATGGACGTGATTCACACAGGATTCGGTTGCCGACTGCACAAAATATCAAAAATACAAAATAATAATACACTACAATCGAATATCGATGAGCAAACACCTTAAGGCACGCACGTAATAATTATTTAAACAACACAGAGAAAAGAGCAAGCGGTAGTATGTAGTAATAGGTAAGTAGGTGATGTGTATGTGTACTCGAATTTACAGATCTAAGCCGATTGATCGCACAAATGGAATTGGCCTCATGAATCAATTAGGACAGGAGGGCATCCTGAAAGTGTGGGTGGCCCCTCTAGACTACTGCGCCCATAAGTGCGTTGACATGTGAAAGGGGCGGAGCTAATGGTCTCAAGGGCTCCGCCCACACGTCCAGTTGCCCTACGCCTCAATTTTACACAGAATGAAAATGAGCATTAGACGTCAATCACGGAACAAAAGTGAAAATAAAGTATCCGATACCGGGATGGACTCCGTTATTGAGAGTCCCGTGATACGGTGATATGTACGGCGCCCTGAATGGAACGCAATCGCTCCAAAATAGCTGTTGGTGTGAGGTCGGTTACGCTTTCACCGTCCAACGACAAAAGACGGTCACCCACACGTAGACTGCCTAAATACGGGGAATTTGAGACAACATATGCATGAGAACAAAAAGCGGAATTATCGTGAGAAAGAACCGTTGCTAGCATTTCTTCACTAATTTTGAGAAAACAATAGGAAAGATTATCGCTGAACCAAACATATTCGGTTGTGCCGCTCTTTCTTCTTCCAATACCAATTGTGAAACTTTTTGAACGCATCCTAGGTTTACCCTGACTTTTGGGGGATGACCAAAATTCAAGACGTATCTCCTTCTCAATCTTGTCATATCTTTCCACATCAATACTAAATGACCAGAGGGTAGCAAAGCCAAGTAAAGCACCGTGTTGCGTTGAGCATAACTAAATCTCATGGGACATGCCTTTGCATAGCAGTACTGTATTCTTATTACTTGGCCCCTTTCCCCTCTTTGAAGCAAACGTTTCTTCCTCTTCAGCCATATCGAGAAAAGTTGGCTCGCCCCGCTAAAGTATTATTTTATTTTCTTAACGAAGCCGTGCACATAAGTACAAGTAAAAGGTAAAAATTAATAATAAGCCCACTCAAACATCCTCTACTGGATCACTCCTAAGGTGAGAAAAATCGCCAGGCGTTCGAGGCTCCATAAATTCTCGACGCGGGTTGAACTTTGTTTAAAACGTGCCTAACGAGAAATTTTTTCTGGGTGTGGAGCGCTTTTTCAAAAGGGTTTCCTGCATTTTACAGAAAGTTACACGTGAGCTGCAGAACCGAGGTCGATTCTGGCTGAGAGGCCCTAAGAAGGATAAAAAGAAGGGAAAGAAATGGTACAAGGTTTTATCCCCAGTGGTGGCAAAATTTTACATTTTGGGTTCCGGTTTGAATTTTTTCGAATAGCGCCATTGACAACAGTAGGCGCCATATTTATCACAGGGGCTGAAAACGCTTCGCTAGAAGTACAGACACCGTTCCAACGCTGTAAAAGCATCCATTTTGGCAATTCTTCAATCCTTTTTCGTCCTTAAAGGGGCCGCTCAGCGAGCATGCACCTCGGTTTTGTAGTTCATGGAGAGCACCTACAGCATGCAAAAATGTTTTGAAGATGCGCTCCACTTCCTGAAAGCCTCCCTTGTAAGTTATCCGGGGCAAGTCAATAGGGGATGCAATCCGTCGTTACAAAGTTACGTCGTTACAACACAAAGGCCACTTGTCTTCGTACACCCTCAGAAGCTATGTAGGACGCCTAAACTACGCCCTCTTTTTTGGGTCCTACACTACGCCCTCTTTTTTGGGCTCAAACCAACAAGTGCTAGAATAGATTTTTTTAAAGAAAGCGCACCTTCCATAGCAGCAGCTGAATTCACAGCGATCATTCTGATGAAAATACCATCGGAACCGGTCCTCTTCGCTAAGGAAAGCCCTGAAATACGTAAGTTAAGACAATGCAAATGCATAGAGAAGGCTCACATCGTCTGAATGATACTGGCTTGATTGTAAAGGCAGTGAGCGCACTGAATTGGGGTCTATATTCAAGAAAATAATCCGTCACTGAAGACGTACTACTGCTGAGAAGGAGGCGAAAGATGCGTTCTCGTGGATGTGAGTGCTACTTTCATAACGCAATCACGGCTCTAATCCTAAAGCTAAATGAAGCGCCTGGGTGATTGGGGATTACAGCCTCGCTGAGAAGCGCGAAGCGTGGCGCGCCGCGGGCATGCGACAACTCCCTCCTTCCTCCACCCCCGGCTGGAACAGGCGTTTCTTAAGCAATCACGAGCTAAGCAGAACGAATTTTCAATCGAGTTTTTTGATGCTTGAGGACGGAGGAACAAGTTAGTAGGTTAGGAGATTTCATCAATTTGAACCCTAGGCTAATAAGGTGGCACTGAAGCGGTGCCATCTGGCTTTTATACCATCTCAGCTCAGCAAAGTAGAGTTACCTTAATAGCAAAGCCAGTTCATGAGCAAATTCACGTTTTCACCCACCTAAAGAACCTTCCGGCTTCTTCTCCAGCACTGCGTAATAATATTGCCGTTTTTCTGTGATTCACGCCGTAATCCCAACGTCACGACGTTACCGCCACTACGTAACATTGACACCACTTCTTGGTGCGATTTATTGGACACCGGCTCACCGTTCACCTGAAAAAATAAGCCCTTTTTTTCGAAAACACCCCAATAATTTCCAGCTGAATTGCCTGATGGAAGTATGAAAAACCTACATAGATAAGAGCGTCACCGACGTGAATATCTGGATGACTAGCAGCAGGTTCAGCTGTCAGTTGTTTGATACAGACTCGTCCACTTACGGATGCGATCTGCACACCCAATGAACCGACTGAGTTGCGTTCCAATTCCACCTAATCACATCACTTTACTCTTCAACCGTAGCAACCGGAAAGTTGTTTAAAGGCATCGGACACGGAAAACAGAGCCATCTTAGACCGATTTAAACGGTGTGGTACCATAGAACAATGGGTACAGCTTCGCTAAAAGAAAGTGGACTTCCGAAAAGAAACAGTTCTCAGGAACGTCCATCTTCTGGAGGGACATGGTCACGTGGGCGGAGTTTGTAAAGGCTATTCTGACATGACATAGCATGTGTGACGGTAAGCGCGCTGATAAGGTGGCGGGGAACTTTAAACGTTTACACTTACGCGTTAACGCGTCCAACATGTTAAAAGTCAACACTTTCACGTCAGACCGCTGTCTGAAACGAAGCAGACGATGCCCAGTATTTCTAGGTTACGACACACCAGAAAACAACTGAAAACTTTTGCGCCACAGCATATGTGACAGTTTCAAAGTGGAAATGCAAATTGTTCATATATTGCTCAGATTTTTTGAATGAACGCCATTTTCTCTCTTTTCGTGGATCAACCCGAATGAGGATCAATCGATTTTTTGAAAAGAATTAAGCCTCATGATTTCTGTAGACGATGCCTTTAAAAAGGACTGTGGATTGTATTCACTCACATAAATGATGTCATCCTCTACTTCAGCTTCTTCACCAACTTCTTCCAACTCATCGGTCCACTCCAAATTGGATTTCCTAGAAAAAACAAAATTATGTGCCACTCGAAAATTCTTAAATCCCTCTGTTTTACATTCTATATGGGATTTATTGATTAGCTGACTCCTTTTAAAAAGGTTTTTAATGAGCTCATAGTGCTTGAGGGTGGGTAACGGAGCCCTAAAGGTACTGGTCACGAGCTAGTGGGCGGCGCGGTTCTCATGATGTCATCGTACGACATTAGTGGACTAGGCGGACAACGTTCCAGGAGGTGTGGTTGGGCCCATCCCCAAACATTCTTCAACCAATGACGTTTAACGACGTCATCGAAAGCGCGGCACCCAGTCGTCGTGTCT